TGTGTATACCCTGACCGAGAGCCTCCATGGGAGAAAGTCTGCAAAAGGGAACATCATGGCTGTAGTCGCACAAAGCAGCTGCAGCTTCCCTTGGGATCAGGTAAGGCCAGGAGAGCACAGTGTACAAACTGGGCAGCACGGACTGGGGTGTTGGCAGGGCCAGTGCAGCATGGAGATGGGTCGATATTAGGGCAGGGAGAGCCAAACGTACTGACCCTCTGATACGATCATCTTCACAAGTTCGAGAGCCGGGCACGACTGCTGGGGCTCGGGGCTTCAGCCTGTGGGAGACGCCTGCCAGCACTCCTGCCCTGCAGCGGGGTGGTGGGCTGGGAAATCCTGCCCCAGGGAAGGCACCTGCCGTGGCTTGGGGCTGAAGCCTCAACAGGCACCTCCAGTGGGGCAGAAGTCCTGAGACCCCCATCCTTGTTGGACAGAAGCCCCCAGCCCCTCCACCCGACCACAGGGCAGAAGCCCCAAGTTCCCACTCCAGTCTAGTAGGCGCAGAATGGGGGGCTCTGAGAGCCACATTTTAACTGTAAAAGAGCTGCATGCAGCTCATAGACTCATAGACTTCAAGGTCAGAAAGGAGCTGCAGTTTGGCCACCCCGATGTAGGGCATCCTCTGAGTAGCCATCATCGTCTGAGGTCCTAGGGAAGCAGAGAAATAAAACTATCCATGTCCTTGGATTATCGTCTCTCTAAAATCACTTACTTTTGGATAGAATTAGGGCCAAAACCAGGATGACTAGAAGTACCACAAAAATGCTGATTCCAACATGCATCCCTGTCCCCGTGGATTCTGGCTCCATTAGCTGACGGATTGATGTCAACACAGTCTGCTGAAACACAAAACACGAGGGCATGAGGGGCAGGAATAGAAATCATATGCAGGACTTGAAAAAATCATTTGGCTGCAAGATAAATGGTAAACACACCCTTGAGATAATGCACTCAACTTGAGACCGTGTGTGATTTCCACAGACACGCTGCCAAGATTCCATACAGTTGGACACTGATTATGGTTGGGATTTTCAAAGGTGCCTAAAGGGAGCGAGGTGTCCAAATCCCATTCATTTACGTAGAATAGGTGTACATTATATTTTATTTATAGTTTAAAGCAGCAGCTCTTCATTGCAAGAGCCTGCGTTTAGGGCCAAACACTGCAGTCCTTATTCAAGCCTTGATCCTGAGAAGTGACACGTGCCTTCAATTCTTATTGACTTCAGTCTTTAATTAGACAAAACTCCCTTTCAGCTCAGTAAGGAGTGAGTAAGGGCTCCAGGATTAGCCCTTTCTACATGTCACTGGAGTTTGTTCGCATTTTAGTAACAAACGCATCAGCTCTATTTCCCGGCCACCAAACGGACAGACTCAATTTCTCTTTTCCAACCAAAAGAGAGAATGGAAAGTGATCTGCAGAGACAATACAGTCACCGTTCCGGTCTGACCACTTACTATTGAAACATCCTCAGGGGCTTCCGAACTGAAAACCAATGGCCATTGTGGGGTGATGGTGGAAGACGTGTCACTGGCATTCGCAGCAGCTGAGCAACGATAAGATAAACCAACATATCACTTAGCACAGCTAATAATTCTTTCCTTCTTCATAGCTACACAACGCCCACTTCTCTATCTAAAGTAAACGGATCTCGCCTGAGAATCGATGGGCTTTCGATGGCACTGTAAAGGGCAAGTGGTGTTGCATACAAGACTTCACAACGCCGAGAACACATTTATGTAGCACTGAGGCTGGCCACAGCGTGACAAACTTGCAAAAGCCACAGCTAGAGCATCTTGTTGTGGTGCCTATTTCCTGGCTTAAGGCACCGTACAGTGTTTAAAACACAGGGTTACAAAATGCAATATCTTTACTACAATGGTTCAATGCATTTGTCATTTGATTACTGAATAACCCCACGAGCAATAAAACCAACCCACCAATCCCAAGACTGAAAATGTGTTATCTAAGGCTCTACAATTAGCGAAAATGGAGTCCCCTCCTGTTTAAATTAAGGGGACCCCAGAGTCAAGTGCCTCCACGGTTGCAATTGAAATCCATTCCCGCATGCTCTGATTCTAAATGGGATGGTCTGCTTCGGCTGCTGTCTCTGCTTGGGAAAGGGTGGCATTACCGGGCATCAAAGTAACACAACGGTCTGTCTCTCTGCAGCTAGAGACACATCACATGCTGAGAAAGGTTTCCACTTCCTCTTCTGAGAGGGCAACAGAACTATCTGGAAACATGTTAAAGTTGCTGAACTCACAAAATCCAGATGAATGAAGCTGGCATTTCTGGTTTGAAGTTCAAGCTGAGCTCAGAAGGCTCAAAAGCAAAATATAAAGAATAAATATTAAAAAACAAAACAGTTTTAGTGGGCTGCTAATTGTTTAAAAGACCCCTGCAGATCTTCCCATCTTTGCTTGGGGCTTATTGTTAGATCACAGGGGATCAGATTTTATAATATACAAGTCCAAGGGAAAATATTTTCAACCCCAATGAGAACAGATCTTAAATATTAAAACAAAGTTTTGCAACTTGTGAGCAAGGTGATATGTGTGTGTGTGTGTGTATGTGTGTGTGTGTGTGTGTGTGTGTGTGTGTGTTTGCAGGATGGGACATTATTTCATAATTTCCAGTTAGTATTTACAGGCCCAGTTCTGATCTCAGCATATCAGTAGCATACAAGTTCAGCTATTATTTGTTATTTAGTTCCCTTCTGGGATCCCCTTACAAAGGGACTCACACACAGAGAGGTTGAATCCTTGGCTAACCATTACCTGAGGTGTGTTCAGATGTGTAAGCGTGAGGGCCTGAAGTGGAGGTCCTAGCTGATGTTAAAAAGAAAACAAAAAACACACATATTACAACAGTCAGCAAGATGCGTCCAACAAACTGAAAGAAATAAAATGTTTTAACAACATATCACCAGCAATAAAACCATATCCCATTATCCATCTGGTCTATTACAAGAAGAAAATTACTTTGTAACTTTTATTTGCAGGACAATACAGTGCAGCAAAAGGAGAGAGAATGAAAATCACAGTTACACTATCGATGTATCTGTCTGGGGGTTTATCCTGCCATCTGTCACCATAGCCTGTCAGCTCCTTCCATGTAAAATCAACAACGAACATCCTAGTGGACTTCCTGGAGCGTCTGGACTTCTGCCTTTTGCAGGTAAAATAAATCAGCTTGGGGTAAGGTTTGAGGTTTTGATTTTACTTGTTGCCACAACTGGAGTTGTACATTTTAAAATTTGTTATTTGCCAGACAAATTACTTAAGGCCGAGTTGTACAAACTTGACTTATGTCGATGATCGCTGGCTCCAACAGAAGTACTTTCATGAGTGCTCCCCAAGGGCTGAAATTCACCTATATGTGGAGAGCCAGCACCAGGCCCTGGCATCATTTAACTCCTCCTCAGCCAAGAGAGACGGCTAGATTCATACCTGGTGCAAGAGCACAACTCTGAGTTCAACGGAGCTGCACCTGCTGATGCCAGGTCTGAATTTGGCCCCACAAGTTTGAAAGGAAACGTGGCTGGGTAGGGGAAGATATAGAGGTTCTGTGGTATGGCGAAGAGATTAGTCTAGGTTTCTAGGGGCAGGAACAGAAGTCAGGCAGGGTCTGCACCAGGCAGGTTTCCCAGTACCAGGGTGAGGCATTATAACATTGGAATCCCAGGAATCAGAGAGAGGGCCAGGCTTTCTGAGGAGAACATGTCACCAAGGGCTCGGGAGCCCTGCAGAACTGTGTGATGTCTGTCACCACAAGCACAATAGTATCCTTTTTATTTTCATGAGTTAGGGTGTGACCCAGAGCCCATTAAGGTTGATGGAAACCTTTCATTCATTTTCATGTGCACCGGATCTGCCCGAGAAGGAGGAACATGAACACATCTACCCACAAGAGTGGATTATTGTGCCTAACTAATGAGAGAAGCACTCTCCTGGATGCTACATGCCATATTGCTAAGACTGTTAGTAAGAGCGTTATGCCATGGCACCAGGGAACAAAACCATCATTCCAGTACAATTTTCACTTCCTCTTCTGAGTAAAGTTACTCATGTGTATGTGTTTGCAATGTTTATGCTAGGCATGAATTTGACCCAGAAGGTTTGAAAGGAAAATGTGCTTTAGGGTGCAACATGCGGAGATTCTGTGACACAGATCAGAGACTAGTCTAGGTTTCTATGTGCAGGCAAGAAAGTCAGGTAGGGGTTGGATGAGGCAAGTTTCCAGATAACAGGGAGAAGATTTTGTAAAATCCATGTTTGGTAAAACTTAGCTACTGCATTTGTCCAATATGTAATTTTGTTCCCTTTCTGGCGGCCCGTTACAAAGAGAGACACACAAACCAGAAATATTGAATACTTGGATAAACATTACCTGAGGTAATGTTCAAATATTGACGTGTGAGGGAGACCCTAGCTGGTGTTAAAAACAAAACAAAAACCACATATCCTACAACAGTCTGCAAGATACGCCCCACAAACTGAAGGAAATAAAATGTTTTATTAATAATAGAAAGGTATAAAATAATAAAATTATAGAAATATATAAAAAGCAACAAAAGAAATGTCTTATTAACAACCTGGAATATTTTAAAGTTAAAACCTTCCCTTTACTATTCTCCAGCACTCTCCCCAGAATGCCTTTACCCAAAGTCTCTGCTTTAGTCTCAAGCACATACAAACACAACAGATTATAGATCACCCCCAAACAATAGTTACCCACGGTCTGGAAGGGTCTCGAGTGGTCAAACGACAAAGTTCAATTGGCCAGCTATCCGCCTGTCCATGGGGATTCCAAGAGATGTCCAGAAGGTCAAATCCAAATTCCTCAGACCTGTCTACCCCTTTTATGTTAGTAACTGCTACAATTGCCTCAACAACATGTCAATCATAGAAAAACCATTAAGGAAGCACTTTTTAATCCATTAGGTAGACAGATGTGTTTTTGCAGAGTCTGCAGTCTCATGGGCCCCAACACACGCACACCAAAAGTCAGATATAGACAGACTTCCAGTTTTTCCACAGACACTTACCCCAGCATATCAGAGAGGAGACAGAGTCAGATTTACTCCATGGGATTGCTGCTTACCCCCGCCCGGCTTGCCTTAGTTAAGTTCTTGCAAAGGCCGACTACATAGCTACTCTTGGCAATAAGCAAAAT